TATATACCACATCTTCTTTATCCATTCATCTGTCGATGGACATCTTGGCTCTTTCCATAGTTTGGCTATTGTGGACATTGCTGCTATAAACATCAGGGTGCATGTACCCTTTCGGATCCCTACTTTTGTATCTTTGGGGTAAATACCCAGTAGTGCATTTGCTGGATCATACGGTAAGAGCTCAAATGATTTTTAATATGTGGCTAAGATTGCATACTACTGCCTTAAAACCAGTCCTTGTTACTTTTGGTTGTTGCTTAAAATCTAATGAGCAGTGGCTCATTAGCAACAGTTCGCTATGGCAATTTCACCTCCATGTTCTAGTGTTTGCCTTCCCCTGATGCAGCCTCCCACTGTACATTCTGGAACACCATTTCATAATACTAGCTGCACATAGAAGAAAATGTTCAATAAATGTTGAGTGTATGAAGTAAATACTTTTAACCCATTTTCAGAACAGATTTCTTTTACCTTCTTGGCTGAACTCTTCCTGAGGAAGTCCTATACTTTCTCTAATAGCCCTCCCAGATAGATGGATGCTGCCTTCCTCTAAGATAAAATTCCCTGTTTTTCAGGCTTCTTTTCTCTACCTGGATACCCAGGCACCTTTCCTTACTACTGTTACCTATTATTCCTTCATTCTCCAGAGAACTTGGTACCAGTTTCCAGGCCTGTACTTCTGATGTTGTCCTGAGAGATGTCCATGGGTTTCCCTGAAGATGACTTACCCAGTATCCCAGTATAAGTTCTTGATTCATTAAGCAAACAGATATTAAATGCCTTTTACATCTCAGACATTGCCCTAGCGAGGTGCTGTGTATGCAGTGGTGAATTAAAGGAACCTGGTGAACATTTTTTTAGCTCTTAACTTGGGACAGTTGGGTGGGAAATAGATTGGAGTCAGGAAGAATGGAAGCAGGGAGTTCAGTATGGAGGCTAGCACAGTAATCCAGGTGAGGTAGTGGTGGCTTGGACCAGGGTAGTGGCAAAAAAGATAAAAATAGATTGATTTGAGATAGGTTTTGGAGGGAGGCTAGTGACCAGTCGGTCACTGAATACTAGTGGTCTTTAAGCTCTGCTCTGTCTCAGATATCCACATGTATGGCCCTACCTCTGAAATCCTAAATTCACTCAAGTTTTCCACCAGTGGATCTTTGTTCTAGTAGTACTGCTTTGATTAGACTTGTTCTTCAGTCCATGTCCATGCCCTATTCTCCCCCTCATTTCCTACCTGGGATGACCAACTATCATGATTTACTTGAGCACAACTGAGGCATTTCTTGGGATGCCAGACTTTGAGCACTAAAACCAGGATAGTTGGGTCACCCTGCGCCTACCCCAGTCTGCCCTTTTCTCTTAAGTGGTATGCTTCAGCCACGTAAACCTTTTCCTCTTCCTGAGAATTTATACACATGATCGCACCTTGCCTATGTTGGACCTCTTCCCATTTCCTACTCCCATCCCCTTCCTGTAACTGACTTTCACCCATTCCTTGGACCTCAGGCAGGTTTCCTAGCTGTCCTAGTTTGTGATCCTGGAGCACTGCAGCCTACTCTAGCATGTCTTAGCACTTGGCCTGATCATTTTATTGTCTGCTGCTCATGCTGCACTGTGTGCTTTTATGGGCAGTCTTGTTCGTTGTGGTATCTTACGTAAATGGGTCTCCACCGTTTACTTTTTCCCTTTCTTTCATCACTTAACACAGACTGTACTTTGTTGCTTGGTTACTTGTTTGTGGTCCCCTGTCCCCTGTGACCGATCTTGTACGCTGTGGTCCCCCAATGGCTAGCACAAGGCCTGGCACATAGTATCACTCGGATGATTGAGCAAGTGAATGATGGTCTTCCCCAGTGCACTTTGGTTTTTGGGGTAAGGTAAATGATCAGTAAATGTATGTTGAATGACGATAGGGTTTCGAGTGAGTGAAATGTTATGCTGCCCTTAAAAGTAATGTTGGAATTTGTGATTACATGGGGGAATGCATATGCTGCCCAACAACTTTATAAAAACCATGTATATTGAATAGTTACAGTTGTAAAACAAAAGTTTGTATTTTTAGTATTAGGAGTGTAAAAATACAGGTGAAATTTTAATGTATTGTTCCCCCCCACCCCCCCAAAAAAACAGATAAGTGGGAATTAGAAATCTTTCTTCATATCCTGGAATCCATAAAGCATATTAGAACTTTAAAGCTAAGGAACTAGGTATCTGAATGTCTTGTTCCATTTTCATTAATCTTATGTGGCTGCTAGTAATAAACTATTTAGCATTTAGTTAGATGGTAACTGATAGGCCTAAAAACTGATAGTGATGAGAGGAATGGAACTATGCATCTTGATAACATGCTTTTTCTAAGTATCAGGAGTGAGATAACCAATAGATGGAATCTGGCCATATCTTGCCCTCTTTAATGGAATTTTCAGTGCCTACAATTTCGTCTTACACCAAGTCTGTTCTTTAAGCTGCATTAAGTTTATTTTTGTTAATGTTGTTTAATGCTAAATGTATTGGTTTATTTTATCTCCATCTGTAGGCTAAAGAAATCCTGACAAAAGAATCCAATGTGCAGGAGGTTCGATGTCCAGTCACTGTCTGTGGAGATGTACATGGGCAATTTCATGATCTCATGGAACTGTTTAGAATTGGTGGCAAATCACCAGATACAAACTACTTGTTTATGGGAGATTATGTTGACAGAGGATATTATTCAGTTGAAACAGTTACTCTGCTTGTAGCTCTCAAGGTAATTTCAATTTTGTTTGGGGGTATTTTGTACTGGGTGAGACAGTTTTGTTCTTTTTCTTCCCCAGTGATTTGTGATTTTCTCTGAATGTTCCATATTTAGGAATGCAGGTATTCAGGTTTGGGACTTAAAAATCATACGTCTGTCTTCATTCTGAATAAGGGGATGGTATAGAATAAAAGTAAAAAAGGTTATTCTCATTCAAGTTATTTGAAAAATGTTAGAAAGCCAGTCAAATAAAAATATTTCTTCAGTTAATTAGGGTGTGGGGAGGTAGTATAACTACCTTTCCTAGGTGCTTTTGAAATTAAAGATACTAAATGTCAGGATGTTCACATCTTTTGACACAGTAATCCTATAATTAGACTTTTACTGAAGAAGAAATTCAAGAGGAAAAGAGCTTTGTGTGAAAACATTAATTTCAGCATTATGTTTAATACTTGAAAACGAATTGATCTAGATATCCAACAAAAGTGAATATCTAAATTATGATTTCTCTCTGTGGAATAGTTGGCAGCCATTAAAACTTGACAATCTAGAACAATAAGAATGATAAAGCAAGCTGCTTTATACCAATTGGAGCTGTGGGAATTGTACAGAGATCTGAAAATGAGACACACGTAGTGGTCACTAGTTTTTGGAATGGCAGGTTTCTGCCTTTCCTTGGAAAGAAAGTGTGATTTTACCTTTAGGGGAGATTTTACTAAAGAACGTTCACAATGATAAAACCGGCTGCCAGAAACCTCTAATACTGCAAAAGTGGTAAGATGTGGTTTTGGGAAGAGCTGGATTTTAGGCAATATATAATGTATATGCTCATGAAGCTACTATAATCTGAATCATGTAACATGCTACAAAACATTTTTGGAGGATATACTAAGTTCTCTGCATCTGTAAAATAAAGCAGTTGGATTAAGTGATGGCAAGTTTCTCTAGGTACTATGAAAACAACATTGTAAGCTAATTTGTACTTAAAGCCCAGGATGAATCCCAGTGCTTAGCAGAGGAATGAATATGCTGCCTTCAAGAATTTATATTTAAAGGTTTTGGGGCTGAATTGTGCCGCATACACCTCTCCCCCCCCCCAATTCGTACATTGAAGTCTTAACCCCCGGTACCTCAGAATGTGGCTGTATTTGGTGATAGGGCCTTTAAGAGGTAATTGAGGTAAAATAAGGTCATATGGGTGAGCCCTAATTCAATATGACTGGTGTCCTTGTAAGAAGACATTAGGACACAGATATAGAGGGAAGATGATAAGAAACGTGGAGAAGATGACCTTTTATTAGCCCCGTAGACCGGCCTTCAGAAGAAACTAACCCGGCTCACACTTTGATCTGGACTTCCAGCCTCAAGAACTGTGAGGAAATTAATTTTTGCTCTTCGAGCTGCCCATTTGTTCTATTTTTTTATGGCAGCCCTTGTACACTAGTATGGGGGCACTGGGGGAAGGAAACTTGAGCGAGTACAGTTGGATATCCATATACAAAAAAATGGGCTTAGGTACCTCATACCACACAAATGGGTCAAAATCAATCAGGGGCCTCAATGTAAGAGCTAACGCTATGAAACTTCTAGAATAAAGCATAGGAGAAAGTATTTGTAACTCTGGGTTAGGCAATGATTTCTAAGATGTGAAAAGCATAATCCATTAAAAAGATTGTTATATTGGACTTCATCAAAATTAAGAATTTTGGGGACACCTGGGTGGCTCAGTCGTTAAGCGACTGCCTTCGGCTCAGGTCATGATCCCAGGGTCCTGGGTTTGAGCCCCATATCGGGCTCCCTGCTCGGCGGGAAGCCTGCTTCTCCCTCTCCCATTCCCCCTACTTGTGTTCCCTCTCTCGCTGTCTCTGTCAATTAAATAAATAAAATCTTTTTTAAAAAAATTAAGATTTTTTGTTCTTCAAAGTATATCACTAAGAAAAAAGTATTTGTGTTCATATAATAAAAACCTATTATAATTCAATAATTATAGACAGATTAAAAATGGACAAAATACTAAAGATGTGCAAAATCATTAAACATCAGGGAAATACAAATTAAAGTCAGAGTCACACCCATTAGAATGGCTCTCATCAATAAGGCTGATAATACTAAGTGTTAGTTTATGGAGAGATTAGAACCTTATACCCATACTAATACCCAGCAATTATATTGGACTAGGAATATACTCAAGAGAAATGAAAGTGTATTGTATGTCTGTACAAAAAATTTACAGGCAAGATGATCATAGCAACATTCTCATAATACTCAAAAACTGTAAACCATTCAGATGTTCCTCCTCCTGGGGAATAAAGAAAAAAGATATGGTATAGCCATACAATGGGATACTGTGCAGCAATAAAAAGCACAATAATAAGAATCCACTGATACATACACAGATGAGCCTCAAAAATATTCTGCTAAGTGAATAAAGCCAGACACACAAAAAAACTATATCTTGTATTATTCCATTTATATGAAATTTTACAAAAAGATCTCAAAAGGGGAAATCATGAGAGCAGAGAGATCACACAAGTACGTAGTTTCTATGATGAGTATTTAAGGAAATACAGAAAAGACAAATCAGTGGTTGCTGGGAGTAGGAGTTGAGACGGCCTGGGGGGATATTTTTGGACTGAAGATGGAAAGGTTCTAAAATAATTGTGATGGTTATTGCATACCTATAAATTTACCAAAAGTCATCTAACCGTAGAAAAAAATTTCACGGAGTTCTATGGCTGATGATTATGTTTTGTGAAATTGGTAGTAGCAGGAGTTTGATTGTAGTTGAGAATAGGGTTTGCCGATAACTCTGTGGACAGATGTCTGTAGATATGGGGGGATGGGATTTTTTTTTTTTCCACCAAAATTGGAACTCTGAATTTTCCTGTAGAAAGTTTGCTGAATGGTCATTTGGTTTTTGAAGAAGCCAGGTATTCATATTGTTTTCTGTTTTGTTGTTTCAGGTTCGTTACCGTGAACGTATCACCATTCTTCGAGGAAATCATGAGAGCAGACAGATCACACAAGTATATGGTTTC